GACTGAATATGGCCATTATCACCCTTCCATCATCATTCTCTATCTCCTCCTCAACCTCCTCCTCATGCTCCTCCTTCTCCTCCTCATCATTATCATCATGCCAGCTTAGCCGCCACCAACCCTGAAGGAGATGAGATGGCCCCCGAGGAATGCTGTCCGTCGGCTTCGGCTCTCGGTTGGCTCGCTCGCTGGGCTGCGCCGCGTGGACGGCCCCATTCAGAATCCACTCGTAGAGTCCCCCAGCTCGTCATCATCCGTCAACCCTTCACCATCCTCGCCCTTCCTGGAAGTGAACATACCACTGCTTATTGGTCCGAGCAGTCGCAGGGTCAGCAGCAGGAGCAGCCGTAACTCGGCCGCTGCCTTCGGCTTGTCGCCGTTCCTCCCCGCACGCCGCTGCGATTCTCTTGAAACCTGGCTCGGTTGTTCGAGCCCCCTGCGAGGCAGCGACCGTGGTGCCCGCAGTATCAGGAATCGGCGGGAGCCCTACGTCGTCCAGACACAAAGCGGAAGCGTCCACTGAGCTCCGCAGCAGAAAGTTCTGGCGTGCTCTGATCCGAGCAGCGCCTCCACTCGGACTGTGTGCCCCGTGTGCCTTTCTAGTACGTGCACTTTTCTGGGCCACCACCTTGAAACATTCCCCTCCTCAATTCAATTCCGTCCCTCCACCCTCGTGCATTGTTCCTTTTCCTCCTCCTCCTTCTCTTCCTAAGCCTCTTCCAATTATTCCTCCTCCTCCTGCTCCTCCTCCTCTTCCACTTCTTCCTCCTCCTCCTCCTCCTCCGCCTCCTCCTCCTCCTCCTCCTCCTCCTCCTCTTCCTCATGATCATCATCCTCCTCTCCTCCTCCTCCTTCTCCTTACTCCTCCTCCTCCTCTCTCTTCTCCTCCTCCCCTCCTCCTCCTCTCCTCCTCCTCCTCCTCCTCCTCATCCTCCTCTCCTCCTCCTCCTCCTCCTCCTCCTCCTCCTCCTCCTCCTCCTCCTCCTCCTCCTCCTCCTAAGGCTTGGGCCGCCAGAGACCTGTCCTGGCGGTGCGTTGTGATTTCGGCAATTCTGATTTCTTCCAGCCAAATCCAACGATCCCACCCTAGCGCGCCCGCCGCCCGTGCTGCGGCTAGCCACGACTTCGCGAGAACGTCCAGAAGGAGCCTGGCACCGTCGTGCTCGGCAGAGGAGGACTGAAGATCGGTTGTCGGTGAAAGTAGTAGCTGCCCAGTCCCGTTTTCTGGATCACCATTCATCTCAGCAGCAGCAGTCAATGATGGACAACTGGCTGTGTGAGATATGTGACTCTGTCAACGCGTTCGAGTGTCAGTTTTGTTCATTTTGCATGCCAGATCAGTCGTTACAGCTCCCCCGTGGCAGAGGTCAAGCGCCACAGCGCGCCCCACGAGGGCAGGGGCAGCAACGACCGCAGACAGGCGCACATCAGCGAGCCCAGCAGCAGCAGCAGCAGCCATCGTCAGCCTACGGAATGGTGAGAGATCCGGGGGTTCGCCTGCAGTCGCAGTCTCAAGCCGACTCGCAAGAAGCTCAGAATCATGGACGCCGACGGTCTAGAGGAGCTCGACAGACGAGGCAGAATACCCGAACACGTTCTCCGTCTGTTACGTTCGCGGACGAGGAGGAGGATGCGTCGTCCAACGGTCCTGCCCCGCTCAACATCCTTCCTGCTCTGCCTGCGCATGCAATATATCATCATCGTTTTCCCCCGTTGCCAGGAGAGGATGCGACAGATGGCAATCGCAGGAGGGCAGAGGTGAAGGTGTTGGCGGCTACGATTCGCATGAAGTATCAGGCTGGAGACATCAGCGAGGACGAGAAAGAGTGGTATGCAGTGCTGTTGACAGCTATCCACCTTTGCCGCCCATGGGAGCAGCAAAGAGAGTTTCAGCTGGCTGCGATGCAGCGATCGCAGGCGAAGTTGGATTCACAGGAGTTGGCCATTCGTGCCAAAGAAGCAGAATTGGACGATCTTCGAATGCAGAGAGAAGTCTCGGAGCAATGGGTTGCAAGGCATCAGCAGGCGTTGACGGAGATGGAGTCCATGGAGCCAGCGACACAAGAAACCCTCGGCGAACCAGAGGCCATGGACGCCGACGAAGGTCGAGAGATGGGCGGCGATCGTGGCCCAGTGTCTGCGCCGCAGTCGCCGTGGAGGATGCCAGCGCAACAACAGCCAGCGCCGACGCCAGTCCTGCAGCCTACCCAGATTGTGGACCTGTCGGTCGTACAGGCGCAGATCTCGCCCCTGTCTCAGAACCTTGCTTCGCTCCAGCAGAGGATCGACAGCAACGTGAACAGCCCAGGCTCGCCGTTCAATATTCTGAAAGCGAAGCACGAAGCTTTGCTGGCAGCACCCATGGTGCCCCCTGGCGGCGTCGTGCCACCGCCACAGTTTCCAATGTCAGCTGCGACGGCGCCGTCGGCGGCTGCCGCCAGCATGTCGGCCTCTCCGTCTGCTCCCGTCTTCGCTGCGCCGCGGAGCCCAGAAGGGGGCTCGACAGCGGCGGCCAGCCGAGGTCGGGAGATGTCTCGTTCGCCAGCGAGGCGAACGCGAGGAGAGGGCGGGGAGGCTGCAGAAGAGAAAGGCTCAGAGCCTGGAGAGCAGCCGGGGTGGCCCAGCCGACCACCCCGACTCCGATCGACTTGGAAGATCGCCGTCAGGGTAGTCTTTTCAGCACAATGAGGTCTCAACTGGTGCCGCGCTCAGCTTTGCTCGAGACGATTAAGGCACCCTGGTCGCGGGCCCCTGCAAGGAGATGGCAGGACATCGAGCGCTTTCTGCTCCCATGTTCACGTTCCTTTCTTCTGCCCCTTTCCCCCATCCCCCCCGACGACCAAAGCGCCTGTCGTGCCTTTATCTACACGGATGGTTCGGGCGGAGGAGGTGAGGTTGCACCCTCATGGGCGGTCGTTGTTCTGTTGTGCTCCCTGGCAGGGTCACGGCACCTTGAAGGCCTCTTTGCAGGGCTGCTCGACCTGGATGCTCTGTCTATTTGCAAGGTGCATGCCAGCATGGCGCCAGAGGCAGTCGGCATGATTTGGGCCACAACATGGGCGCGACAAGCGAAGTGCCGAGATTTTAGCTTCCACGTTGGCAATTTCTCGGTGTTGCGAGCGGCTCCTGGGTCAGCAGGGTTGCCTGAAATTTCGGGTTTAACGAAGTGCCCAAGGTCCCTGGCCATCGCTCTCCAGCAAATTTCACCGGGTGCCTTTTCATCATGTCAAGTCCAATTTGGAAGATCCCCTCAATGAAATGGCAGGAACTTTGCGGGCGCTAGCAGCACTTCAAGTAGTGGATCCCCCCCCCAGTGTGCCCCTGGACTGGTTGGCTTGCTGGCCCGTTAGCCGCATCCTGGGCCTGGATTGAATTGCTAGACACCCCTAGCAGACAGCAGTTTCCATCCATGTAACAGGGCGATGTCATTATAGTTTCCGACGCGCCTGGCGTAAAGGATGTCTGCCCGCCTCGCTCCTCTCCACTTGGTCCTCAGCATGACCTACCTTTCTCCAGATCTCCCCCTAGTGGCGCCCGTCTCCCCATCGAGAGATGTTGTTACGCATGCCAAGCTGTCTGTGCGCATGGCATTTGCGAATATTCTGAGTCTGCGTGCGATAGGCAATGGCAAGAAGGCGCCCGCTGGTCTGCACGCAGCAGGGCGGCCGCGGATGCTTGCAGCTCAGTTCGAAGCCACCAAGATTTTGATCGTTGGCACGGCAGAGTCAAGGGCCCCGCCCCCGTCAAGGTTGGACGGACAGAAGGAACTACCTGGTCTTGCACGGGCCAGCCACCCCACAAGGGACTCACAGGTGCTCTCTCTCTCTGGCTCCGCAAAAGGGTCCCCCTGGTTCTTTCATTGGCTGACAGTGCCGTTACACGGCATCTCGTGACGGTTGCAGTTGCTGAGCCCACCATCTTATCTTAATAGTCAACCTCGCGCTGGAGTCCGTGTCTGTGTCCTTTTGTTGTGGGGCACGCCCCACACTCAAAGCATCACAAAAATGGTGTTGAACAGCGGTGGGCTAAGTTTTCGGGCGTGGCCAAAAAACGGCGGGAGCGACTCCGTGCACGGTTTTGCGCTACGGCTGGCAGCATTCCCTCGGATTCGGTTGGCCCCGTGGCCCGTGAAAATGAAAAGGTCAATGGTGCCTGTTTCCAGATATGCCTCAAGGAATGCGCGGTCATGCTGCCTGCTGCCTCGGGTGACCCGCAGGCCTCCAAGACTTGGACGCCGCCGCAAGGCCTCGTGGCCACGGGAAGGATTGACTTTGTGGCGGCCCCAACTGCGCTGAGACAGTTTGCGTTTGCACCCGTTGTCAACAAGGTGGTAGAGCCGGCCATAGCGCGGCCTGACCACTCGCTAGTACAAGTCGACTTTTGCATGCCCATCCCAGACCTTCGCCCCTTTCCAAGGGATCGTTTCCTCCCGACCACGGCTGGACAGAGGAAGGCTGGCGGGCGCCAAGGTCCTGGCTTGCACAATATATGGAGCGGGCCCCGAAGCCGCAACGTGCCGCACCCCCGACACAGCATTGCACCCAGGCGTCGGCGTTTGATCGGCAAGGCACGGTTCAGTTTTTCGGCATGGAAAACAAGCGCACTACTGGACTGTCCGAGCAGGCGCGCGTGCAAGTCTCTGCCCTCCATACGTCCAGACGCGCCCTCTCACAGGTCAGAACACTGGCGGCGCAATTTGGCCACGCCTGGCCCTGTTGGCTTGAAAGTTATCCTGTGCGGTCCCACCCAGCATTGGGAATAGGTTCCTGGGGTCCATATCCAATTGAGTGGTGCCGTGCCACGTGCACCAGGCATCTGGTGGCCAAGTGCTGTCTTCTGCTGAAACTGTTTTCGCCATAGGACAGGCGGGTAGACAGCTCCTAGCCAAGATTCTAAGTGCTTGGAGTGGGCGCGTTCAGGCTCTCCATCAGGCACGTCAAGTTTCGTTTCGGATGACCAGACGCCTGAAAGCGTTCTCGAGGTTAGTTGTGACCTAGGTCGGCTGCGCAGACAGGTTGCCGAAGCCGCGCGCGCGTCTTTGCCAGTAGAGTGGCGGGCGCGCTGCCAGAAGACGTGCAACCGAAGGAGAGCTGCGAACGCCGACTTTGCAGCTGTGTCGTTCCTCATGCTTCCGCCAGGGCTGCCCGGGCCCTCACGGACAGGGGAGCGTCGAGCCCCCATCGATGCATCGTCTGCTGTTCATGGCACGGGCGATCGCCTTTCATACCTCGCCGTTTCAATATTGGATTATTCTGCCGCAGGCGCAGCGGGTTCACGATGTCATCGGGGAAGAAGCCAATAAAAACTCCAGGATGTTGCGAAGCCAATTAAGGGCGCATGGTCCGCTAAGGACTTTGCGTCCGCGTTCTCGGCCCCGCGGCTCTCGGGAGCTGCTGGGAAACGACACAGACAACACAAAGTCTTGCCTGCTATTCAAGGACCGGATGGTGAGTTGTTGCCGACCGCGGTGCAAGCACACGATAGGTGGGTGCAGCACTTTGCCGCCCATGAATTGGCTGCAAATTTGTCGCCCGACCTGTTCGAGGCAGTTTGTTTGGCAGCGTTGCGGGCCTGGGCGGTGCAAATCGCGACACATCCAACGCCCCTACGTTTGCGGAGATTGAAAAATCACCTCGAAAGACCGGCAATGGAACTGCGGGCTCTGACGGGCTCCACGGGTCGTTTGTCAGGGCCTGCGCGGCCCCTCTGGCCAAGGCTTTCTATCCTCTAGCGTTCAAAGCGGCGATGCTGGTCAGCGAACCTATCCAATGGAAGGGGGGGATCTCCCACGCATCCGCAAGGGCAAAGGCAACCCTTTCGCTGCCTCTCTGCCTCTCGTTCCATCCTAATTGCCTCACACGTTGGAAAAGGCCCGCATGTAGCCAGCTGCGCAGGAAGCCGTAGGAGCGGCGCAGTATGCAGCTATTCCTGGGCGAGGGACCGCAATGGCTGCACTCGCGGCACGCGCGCTTCAACGTCTTGCCATTGCGCGCAAGATGTGCATTGGATTTCTTTTCGTGGACGTTGTCAACGCCTTCTATACGGCCATTCGTGAATTGGTGATGGTCACGGACACATCCAGGGATTCGCCTCGAGATCTGCTGGCCTCGGCCGGGCTCCCTGAAGCCTATCTACCCCCCCTAGAGAGGAGGCCGGGGAAGCTGCTGCTCCTACGTCGCCACGGGCTGCCCGATCACCTCGTCGGTTTGGTGGGGGAGGCCTTTCGCCTCGGTTGGTCCCAGGTCCCTGGGGCCGAGGGCGTTGCCATGACGTTTCGCGGCACTCGCCATGGGACCCCTTTGGAGACGCGATAGTCATCTTCATCATCGCTGAGGTAACGGCTAGTGCTGCTAGACAGTGGAACGAAGAAGGGCCGTTTTCCCAACTGGAAACGCCCTCCTCTGGCCCCTACTCCCCCCCGCCCCATGATGAGGTCGTCGACCTCCCTGGACTGCTGCATGCAAATGACTCGGGCTTGGTGCTGATGGCAAACATTGATAAGACTCCCCCTGCCCTGCCCGTCTTCTGCCGCATCGTTCTAAATCCCTTCGCCCCCCTGTCGGCCCAGCGCCGCACTTGCAGGTGGGAAAGACCGAGCTGCTGCTCGACCTGAGAGGCCCGGGGCCCGCCAAGGTGCGGCGCAACATGTTTAAAGACCCCCCCCCCCTTCCACCTCTGTCCCTGGCTTGGCTTGCGGAGGAGATTGCATTGCAGTTGTTCGCTCTTCCCTGCACCTAGGCAGCACGTTGGACGATAGAGCGCCACCAGGCCCTGAGCTGGCCGATCGAGATCGGGAGGCCTCTGGGGCCATGAAAGTTTTGAGGCGCGCGGTTTCTAAGGCCCCAGGTAAAGATTTGCCACCCAAACTCCTCCTTCTCGACGCGCTGTCCGCCAACGCCGCCCCCTACGCATCAGGCGCCTGGCATGAATGGACCAAGGCTGAGACGCTGCGCCTGCAGGCGCAGTACATTCGTCGGCATCGCGGGCCCCTTAGAATGAGTAGGCATGAAAAAGGAAGACCGCCTGATCTAGCTGTTCTGGCGCAGGCGGCCCGACCCACCGCCAGCACGATCATTCGAGCTTCACGGTTGAGGCTCTTCGGCCAGGTGATAATGTCTGCCCCCCGGCCCCCCCCGGCTCCACTTAATGCAGAATTTGGCACATCCAACAAGTCCTGGCCCCATCCCAGTCGCGATGGTCTGACGCGGCCAAGGGCCACACGTCATAAGTTTAAGGATTTTGTGCTGCCGAGCGCAGACATGGAGCCCTGGATGGCTGAGATTCGGAAGTCGCCCGGAGGATGGAAGCGCGCGCTTCGCGCTGCCATCAGGGCGTCCGTTTCTCGACACCAGCGGGGCGTTCAGGCTTCGAAGTGGCAACAGCGAGTTTCGACAGTTCTGACAGCTAATGGATTACCCCCTCGTCGTGATATTCCCCCGCCCCGTGTGTCCTCCAAATATAGCAGCCATTTCTGTCCACTGGGGTTTGCTGAGCTTCGGTCACTCGATGCCCATATTAGGCGAGAGCATTTTTCGTACATCGATCTTGCACGCACGAGGGTGGACACCCCGTGGCGCGCTTGCTGCCTCAAGGCTTGCGCCAGCAGGTCGCTGCTACTAAGACACATAACTGCCTGGAGGCCGACTTGCCTGGTGCTTTATCTTAAGCACGTTCCACCGCTGCCTCAGCAGGTTCGGGACGAGCTAGCCGCCGAGGAGAAGGCCCAGAATCAGGCGCGTCGGCACCAAGGCTATTCGGCCTCAAGAGGCCGCTTCCCTTCTTTTACTGCCCCTGGACCCCTACCTTTGGTGGCGGTTGCAGTTCAGGCCAACCTATCCTCGAGCAGCGGCGCGCAAAATTACTTCAGACATGGTCGAACAGATCACGGGCTGGTCCAGGCAGTATATTGTGCCCCACGTGTGGATGAGCCTGAGGTTGCCTGGGACCCCAAACCATATGAAATCGAGTGGCCGTTTGAGGCCTCAGATTTTCCTGGCATCCTGTGTGCCCAGGTCCCTAAGCGCATTTTGCGAAGACAGGTGTCTGGTGCCAACCTCTTCTGTGGGCAGCGAAGATCTGGAGATGCTCCAGAGGCCATTGAGTTGGCCATGGCGACATACACCCCTTCCTTTGAGTTGGTCGTTTTGTCTGTGGACATCCTGTTGGATACCGACCTCGGCGACCTATGAAAAAGTAGTTCCGTCGAATGTTGTAGTTCCATCGAATGCTGTTCCGCACACAGCCGCGCGGGGCGCATCATTGCGCTAGGAGGGGGACCGCCTTGTGAAACGTTCTGTGCTGCACGTTGGACATGGCAAGCCCCGTGGGGAGTGACGGAGCTCACGCCCAGGCAACAGTCTCAGGCTGCTGTCTCTAATGATCTGCTACAGTCCATGGTCGATCCATTGTGCATCATGACAGTCGCGAAGGGGTGTGCGTGGATGGAGCATCCGCCCCCCCCGTCCTGGGAGCCCCGCTCGGTGCCTTCGTGGAGCCTCCTCCCCTTCCAAGGCCCTCATGGCAGCCCCGTGCTCGTCGTTCACCACGTTTGATCAGTGTGAGTTTGGCTAAATCGGGAGAGCCCCCACCGCCTTTTTAGGCATTCGTCTCCCCGATATCCCAGCGCTGTTGCGTAGCACCCCAGGTGGAGGATATTGCTCCCATGGCGCGCGTGCACATGCAGCCATGGCTGGTTGGGATCATGTTCTCAAAAAGTGGAGGAAGGCCCCAAAAAAGTGCACCCGCCTGAGCTGTGTACCGTTCTAGCCACTGCGATGTTGAAGGCTAGTCTTCCCTCGCTTTTGGGGCAGTCGGCTGTCTTGGAAGGCTCCGAAGAAGCCAGTGAGGCTAAAGAATTGTTCCGTTTCTTCGTCGACTCTAACAAGATTGCCATACGATTTTGCCGTGCCACCAGCTGCTCCCAAGCCTTTGTCTGCTTTCGCTCGCGCTTCAGCTGTGCTCAGACCAGACCGAGGACGGAGGAGTCCGAATGAAGAGGAGGAGTTGGAAGGCACCCACTCGGTTGAGACGCGTGGGTTCGCAGCTGGGGAGGCGTCGTTTGCCGCCTTTGGAGAGTGCCCACCCTCCTCGGATTCTGGCCCTCCCCCGCCTCCGCCCCTGCCTCTTCCCTCGGACGTTCGTGAGAGGATCGCGGCTAACAGAGCTGAGGCCTTGAGGAGGAGGCGGACCCGCTCCAGAGAGCGCAGGCGCGTCCGAGTTCAGCTTTCTGGCCTGTTCTCTAATGTCCGGCATGGGCAGACACAGGAACCCGTCCTAGTGCAGAGTGATCTGCGCAGATGGTTTACCCTCGCGATGTCTAATCCATAGGGGTCGTGGCAGGGTTGCCTGTTTATACTGAGGTGTGGGGTGGGGGTGGGAGAGTCTGTCTGTCCAGATCTGGCGTGGCGGGTGTCTCTTCGGATGCCTTCACTTACCGTCGGCGGCGTCCTTTCCCGTCGACTCTCCCTCCCCTTCCCTCTTTTCCCTCCACCCGTTCTCAGGGTCTTCAAGGTCGACCTGACGCGCTGGTACAGTCCCAGACCCTCGTCATACCAAGTTCGCCCAGTGCTTTTTGGAGGTGGTCTTCAACTACTGGGAGCCTCTTTCGGCTCAACCTCCCTCTTCCCTGCTCGGGCGCCTCCTCGGAAGTCGTGCGTTGCAGCGGTCCACAGCAAAAAAAAAAAACTCCACCCGTTCTCCCTTTCCTCGTGACTCCCCCCTCCTCCCGCAGCGGCGCGGCGGCAGCGCGACGGCGCCCCGTGCCGCGCCGCGCCCGGCCCGCCCGCAGACGCGCGGCAGGGCCCTGCACTGCTCCCTCCTCCTGACCCCCTCGACGGCGTTTAGGCCGAGGAGTGAAGAGGAGGAGGAGGAGGAGGAGGAGGAGGAGGAGGAGGAGGAGGAGGAGGAGGAGGAGGGGAAGGGGGAGGAGGAGGAGGAGGAGCAGGAGGGGGAGGAGGAGGAGGAGGAGGAGGGGAGGAGGAGGAGGAGGAGGAGGAGGAGGAGGAGGCCGAGGAATGAAGAGGAGGAGGAGAGGAGGAGGAGGAGGAGGAGGAAAAGGAGGAGGAGGAGGGGAAGGGGGAAACGTGTCTTCTGTGTTACCCCGAACCCTGGCGTGTGTGTGCCCTTCTGAGTGTTTCTCTGCTGGCCCACGCTTGGGCCTCTGGGCTGCCTCGCCCCCCCGGTAGCCTTCTCACGAGGAGCTTTCGAGGAATGCCTGACCTGACCTGACCTCCTCCTCCTCCGCCTCCTCCTCCCTCCTCCTCCTCCTCCTCCTCCTCCTCCTCCCTCCTCTCCCTCCCCTCCCCTTCCCCCTCCCCCTCCCCCTCCTTCTTCTTCTCCTTCTCCATTCCTTCTCCTCATAGATAACTCCTCCCTGTCGCAACCCGAGGCCAGTTTTAGGGCGGGCCAGGCGTTTCGCCTGAGACTTCCTCACCATTTATAACTCTGAAGCTCAAAAGGTGACAACAGTTTCACAGATGGAGGGCGGGTCGTTTTCAAAATGTGGTTCTCACCTTAGCGCCGCGCACATTCGCTTTAAAAACTTGCAAGAGTTTCACGGATTGAGCGCGGGTCGTTTTCAAAATGTGGATCTCGCCTTAGCGCCGCGCACATTCGTTTTAATCACCCTGGCGACGTACCCAACCCTTGCGCAATGCGGGGCATAAGTACATCAGGATTGCTACAACGGAGGCGATGACGTAACATGGGCGCATGTGCTTTCGCGAGCAGCAATCGGAATGCTCGCAGGCCCCCGATCAAGATACAAGGGCTACGTAATAACAAATCACCCCCATTGGCTGTGCCATGCGCCCGTTGCACCCAACGTATCCCACAGCAGCTGTTGAGAGCCCCAGTGGGATACGTGTAGGCGCAACGTTATGGCCATCGCCCGGCAGATGGTCTGTTTCACAAATATTTAAATCACCCGTTGGCTGTGCCGTGCGCCCGTTGCGCCTAACGTATCCGAAAGCAGCTTTCCAGAGCCCCCCAAGGACGGCGAGGTCCCGCTCAGGTCCGCGCGGTGCCTCACTCCGCAGGACCCACCAGCAGCCCTCGAAAGTGGCGACGGTTTCGCAGATCGCAGCCACCCCAGGGACGCCGAGGTCTCGCTCAGGTCCCCGCGGTGCCTCCCTCACTCCGCAGGACCCACCAGCAGGCCTCGAACGTGGCGACAGTGTCGCAGATCGCAGCCCCCCAGAGAGGTCCCGCTCAGGTCCCCGCGGTGCCTCACTCCGATGGACCCACCAGCAGCCCTCGAAAGTGGCGACGATGTCGCAGATTGCAGCCCCCCCCAGGGACGACGAGGTCCCGCTCAAGTCCCCGCGGTGCCTCACTCCGCAGGACCCACCAGCAGCCCTCGAAAGTGGCGACAAAGTCGCAGATCGCAGCCCCCCCAGGGACGGCGAGGTCCCGCTCAAGCCCCCCCAGTACCTCACTCCGCAGGACCCACCCGCAGACCTCGAAAGTGGCGACAAAACCGCAGAGCGCAGCCCCCCAGGGACGGCAAGGTCCCGCTCAGGTCCCCGCGGTGCCTCACTCCGCAGGACCCACCAGCAGCCCTGAAACATGGCGGCAATGTCGCAGATCGCAGCCCCCCAGGGACGGCGAGGTCTCGCTCAGGTCCCCGCGGTGCCTCACTCCGCAGGACGCACCTGCAGCCCTCGAAAGTGGCGACAATGTCGCAGATCGCAGCCCCCCCCCAGGGACGGCGAGGTCCCGCTAAGGTCCCCGCGGTGCCTCACTCCGCAAGACGCACCTGCAGGCCTCGAAAGTGGCGACAGTGTCGCAGATCGCAGCCCCCCCAGGGACGGCGAGGTCCCGCTCAGGTCCCCGCGGTGCCTCACTCCGCAGGACCCACCAGCAGACCTCGAAAGTGGCGACAAAGTCGCAGATCGCAGCCCGCCCAGGGACGGCGAGGTCCCGGTCAGGTCCCCGCGGTGCCTCACTCCGCAGGACCCACCAGCAGCCCTCGAAAGTGGCGGCAATGTCGCAGATCGCAGCCCCCCCAGGGACGGCGAGGTTCCGCAGGACGCACCAGCAGCCCTCGAAAGTGGCGACAAAGTCGCAGATCGCAGCACCCCCAGGGACGGCAAGGTCCCGCTCAGGTCCCCGCGGTGCCTCACCCCGCAGGACCCACCAGCAGCCCTGGAAAGTGGCGACAGTGTCGCAGATCGCAGCCCCCCCAAGGACGGCAAGGTCCCGCCCCTTGGCAAGATGCAAACACAAGAGGTACCGAATTCAGGATGCACACAAGGCCCCCCCGGGGATGGCGAGGTCCGTACAAGGCAAGAGCAGACAAGAGGGAAGCGGGAGACGGGAGGCGGGAGAGAAAGGAGGAGGGGGAGGAGGACACGACCAGTGCTCTAGTCAAAACGAATACCCAGCCAAGGAGGGTTGGGGAAAAATTGCAAGAGTTTCACAGACTGAGGGCTGGTCGTTTTCAAAATGAGGTTCTCGCCTTAGCACCGCGCACATTCGTTCAAGAGTTTCACTGATTGAGCGCGGGTGGTTTTCAACATATGGCTCTCGCCTTAGCGCCGGGCACATTCGCTTTAAAAGTTGCAAGAGCTTCACGGATTGAGCACGGGTGGCTTTCAAAATGTGGCTCCCGCCTTAGCGCCGCGCACGTTCGTTTTAAACATTTGCAAGAGCTTCACGGATTGAGGGCGGGTCGTTTTAAAAATGTGGCTCTCGCCCTAGCGCCGCGCACATTCGTATCAAAAATGTGAAGGGGTTTCACGGATTGAGGGCGGGTCGTTTTCAAAATGTGGCGTTCGCCTTCGCGCCGCGCTCATTCGTGCGGTTCCTTTTCAAAATGTGGTTCTCGCCCTAGCGCCGCGCACGTTCGTTCTCAAAATTTGAAGGGCTTAACGAATTTCCATGATCAACGTACCAGAAATGGCGTTTTGGAAAGATTCTGGACTATACGTGTGCAACAATTACGTTGGTTCGCGGTGCTGAAGTCCCAAAATTGGCGCTCTGGCACGATTCTGGCTCGCAAAGACGCAGCAGTCAGATTGATACGTGGCGTTGAAATCCAGAGAACTATGTCTTGGAGGCAGTTCCATTAATGGAAATGAACCGTTGTAGGGGCCTATGAAGAGGGAGCTTGGAGGAAGGGTTAGTTCCAACATCGTTGATGATTCTTGGCTTTACACTGGTCCTCCTCCTACTCCTCCTCCTCCTCCTCCTCCTCCTCCTCCTCCTCCTTCTCTCTCCTCCTCTCCTCCTCCTCCTCCTCCTCTCCTCCTCCTCCTCCTCCTCCTCCTCCTCCTCCTCCTCCTCCTCCTCCTCCTCCTCCTCCTCCTCCTCCTCCTCCTCCTCCTCTTATGAAAGTACGCACCGCCTTGGGGAGCGCAGATTTGGCCATCATGCCGCCGACGAAGCCTGGCGGACGAGGAAGAAGAGTCTGACAAGCAGAAGAAAGACAACGTCGAAGTCGACGACGAGGACGAGGATGAAGTTGACAGCGAAGACGAGGGGGAGGTCCAGGACTAGGAGAAAGAAGAGGGCAAAGAGGAGCAGAATGCCTGGGGTCCAGCGCCGACGTGTGAGACATGCTTGGCGCCGGCGCCAAAGAGCCACCACGCATCCCAACGGACTGGGGCGGTCTCCCAAGCAGGCCCGAAGATGGCCGGAGGGCGCCTCAAGACTGCACGCCGAGACCGCGCGGAGCCGCCTCAAGATGCTCCAAGAGCAGCCGAAGACCGGCCCAGGACGGCTCCAAGATCCGCAGGCGGCCCCAGGACCACGCAGCCCGAGATGCCCAGAGACTGTCCCAAGAGGTCAAGGATGGTCCGAAGAGGGCCCGAGAGGGCCCCAAGAAGGCCCCAAGAGGGCACCAAGCGTCAAGAGGAACCAGGTGCTTGGCCAAGTGCGCATCATGGACATACGCCGAAAACTGGCATGGCCCACAAGGTCACCTGACTGGTCAAACTAGCATGCAAGCTTCCTCCCCTGGGAGTCCCACGTGGCTACCGCCATGTGAGCGACGAAGGGAAAGGAGCCTGAAGGGAGATGGCTTAGCAAACTTACGCAGTGACGCTCGCTAGCCACCAGCGCGGCACGCCACATTGGAAACGAGGGCGCGTACGCGCGACCTTACGCGGACAGCTCACGCGCAAATGCCTGTGAAGACGACCCCTTTCTGTTTGCGTCGCTCATGTGGACTTGATATGGCGAGCCCCCACAGAGCCAGGGGACTTGGCTTTATGAAGGCAAAGCAGGTGAAGGCTGGCAAGATGACTCGCTGCGGCTCACGGTTTGCTCGGGGGAAGCCCCAGGCGCTGCCCCAGTCCAGCCCGTGCCTTCCCTTCTGGAGGCCAAGATGGCTCAAGATGGCCCCAGATGGCTTCCAAGTGAACCAATATGGCTCCAGATCGGCCCAAGTCAGACCAAGGTGGCTTCATGGACGACAACGAGAGGCCCCAAGATGATACAAACACGGTTATGAAGAGATCCTCGGGAAGCACCACCTGAATGACAACACTACGAATCCGTATGGCTGTCACGACCTGCAGGTTCGGGCAATATGGTCTAGCACACCCAAAGATGGCTCAAGAGGGTTCCCAAGAGGCCTGCAGGGCATCCTGGGTATCCCTGATGGCCCAGCGTGGCCCCAGCTGGCCTCGAAGACAGCCCAAGACGGGCCCTCGGAGGCCCAGGCGGTCACAAATTCAAAGGAGACCTACTGGAGGTCTCTGAGACGGCCCCAAGGTGGCCTCATAAGCCCTCGAAAAGCTCACGGGACTGTCCCATAGGGCCCTGTGGGCTCGCCGGGACTGCTAGAGTCTCTGGAGGGCCGGCCATACACAGCCTGTCGCCATCATCCTTAGCATACTCTCCATCCTCGGGCACATGGAGATCACCCAGGAGAGGAGGCTTTCCTGAACGACGGGGGGGACGGGAGGACAGGATTTGGGAGGTAGATTGTCCAGATGATCTTTTTTTTCCCTGGTCGTCCTCCTCCACGTCTCTCATACTATCTGCACAGCTTCCCCAGGGGCCGTAGGCTACCCGAGGAGGAGGAGGAGGAGGAGGAGGAGGAGGAGGAGGAGGAGGAAGAGGTGGACGAGGGGGAGGGGGAGGAGGAGGAGGAGGAGGAGGAGGAGGAGGAGGAGGAGGAGGAGGAGGAGGAGGAGGAGGAGGAGGAGGAGGAGAAGGAGGAGGAGGGAGGAGGGAGGACGAGGAGGAGGAGGAGTCTAGAAGCGGGACCTGTACCTTTGTTGCGAGGAGCTGCGCACAGAACACACACCCGGCCCCCGGCGGCGCCTCGGGACCAGCCGTAGACAATGTCGCGGGCCACAGTGGGCACGTAGGCCTGGTACAGTGCAGACGGCGTGATCTCCTGAACGCCGCCGAATGCGGAAACCAAGGGGGAGGAAAGAGAGAAAAAGAGAGAGAGAGAGCAGAGAGAATAGTGAGAAATAATAATAAGAACAGTACCCGAGACGTGCCCAGCCCCCTCTTCCACGCGAGGCGAATGCACGCAAGAGCGCTCCACACAACAGAACACATCGCCAGATATGCTGGCCTCATCTCCGCCGTGCCTCCCAGGAGCCCACGAAAGTGGCGAAAGTTGCGCAGTTCGCCACCCAGGAAGCCCATGAAAGTGGCGACAGTTGCGCAGCTCGCAGCCACACGGGGAGCAGCGAGGTCCAACATGGGTCTGCGTGGCCCCCGACTCCGCTGGACCTCCCAGGAGCCCACGAAAGTGGCGACGGTTGCGCAGCTCGCAGCCACGCAGTGAGCAGCGAGGTCCCCAATGGGTGCGCGTGGCCCCCGACTACTCGGCTGGACCTCCCAGGAGCACACGAAAGTGGCGACGGTTGCGCAGCTCGCAGCCACGCAGGGAGCAGCGAGGTCCCCAATGGGTCTGCGTGGCCCCCGACTCGGCTGGACCTCCCAGGAGCCCACGAAAGTGGCAACAGTTGCGCAGCTCGCAGCCACGCAGGGAGCAGCGAGGCCCCAATGGGTCTGCGTGGCCCCCGACTCGGCTGGACCTCCCAGGAGCCCACGAAAGTGGCGACGGTTGCGCAGCCCGCAGCCACGCAGGGAGCAGCGAGGTCCCCAATGGGTCTGCGTGGCCCCGACTCGGCTGGACCTCCCTCGAAAGTGGCGACGGTTGCGCAGCTCGCAGCCACGCAGGGAGCAGCGAGGTCCCCAATGGGTCTGGTGGCCCCCGACTCGGCTGGACCTCCCAGGATGCGTAGCCCCGACTCCGCTGGACCTCCCACGAAAGTGGCGACGGTTGCGCAGCTCGCAGCCACGCAGGGAGCAGCGAGGTCCCCAATGGGTCTGCGTGGCCACCGACTCGGCTGGACCTCCAGGAGCCCACGAAAGTGGCGACGGTTGCGCAGCTCGCAGCCACGCAGGGAGCAGCGAGGTCCCCAATGGGTCTGCGTGGCCCCCGACTCCGCTGGACCTCCCAGGAGCCCACGAAAGTGGCGACGGTTGCACAGCCCGCAGCCACGCAGGGAGCAGCGAGGTCCCCAATGGGTCTGCGTGGCCCCCGACTCGGCTGGACCTCCCAGGAGCCCACGAAAGTGGCGACAGTTGCGCAGCTCGCAGCCACGCAGGGAGCAGCGAGGCCCCAATGGGTCGCGTGGCCCCCGACTCCGCTGGACCTCCCAGGAGCCCACGAAAGTGGCGACGGTTGCGCAGCCCGCAGCCACGCAGGGAGCAGCGAGGTCCCCAATGGGTCTGCGTGGCCCCCGACTCGGCTGGACCTCCCTCGAAAGTGGCGACGGTTGCGCAGCTCGCAGCCACGCAGGGAGCAGCGAGGTCCCCAATGGGTCTGCGTGGCCCCCGACTCCGCTGGACCTCCCAGGAGCCCACGAAAGTGGCGACGGTTGCACAGCCGCAGCCACGCAGGGAGCAGCGAGGTCCCCAATGGGTCTGCGTGGCCCCCGACTCCGCTGGACCTCCCAGGAGCCCACGAAAGTGGCGACGGTTGCGCAGCTCGCAGCCACGCAGGAGCAGCGAGGTCCCCAATGGGTCTGCGTGGCCACCGACTCCGCTGGACCTCCCAGGAGCCCACGAAAGTGGCGACGGTTGCGCAGCTCGCAGCCACGCAGGGAGCAGCGAGGTCCCCAATGGGTCTGCGTGGCCCCCGACTCCGCTGGACCTCCCAGGAGCCCACGAAAGTGGCGACGGTTGCACAGCCCGCAGCCACGCAGGGAGCAGCGAGATCCCCAATGGGTCTGCGTGGCCCCCGACTCCGCTGGACCTCCCAGGAGCCCACATAAGTGCCGACGGTTGCGCAGCTCGCAGCCACGCAGGGAGCAGCGAGGTCCCCAATGGGTCTGCGTGGCCCCCGACTCGGCTGGACCTCCCAGGAGCCCACGAAAGTGCCGACGGTTGCGCAGCTCGTAGCCACGCAGGGAGCAGCGAGGTCCCCAGTGGGTCTGCGTGGCTCCCAACTCCGCTGGACCTCCCAGGAGCCCACGAAAGTGGCGACAGTTGCGCAGCTCGCAGCCACCCAGGGAGCAGCGCAGGTGGAGGCAGGAGGAGGCAGGAGGAGTGGAGTGGATACCACAGCGCTCTATTCGAAACGAGAACCCACCACAAGAAGGCTGGGCAAAAAAGGGAGAGCACCTAATTTGTATGTAAATTATATGCACCGATCTATATGTGTATATATATATATATATATATATATATATATATATTATATATATATATATTATATATATATTACGTATATTTAAATATGTGTATATATACACACACACACGTATACGCCACCGTGCCCTGGAGGCACGAATTGAAGTGCCCTCGGATCCCCTGCTCAATCCCCTGGAGCCCGAAACGTCAATCCTGAGGGTTCTGGAGGAGGCCGGGGCCCAAAACTGCGAAATCTTCTGCCCGCGTCTTGTCGCGCTACTTTTCTGCATCAAGAATGCCCTGAGAAGGACCCAGAAGGCCCCAAAAGGCCCCCAAGATGATCCGGGAGGGCCCCGAATGGCCCAACAATCGTCCCAAGACGCCCAAGATGGCCTCCAGTCAGCCGAAAAGGAAAAAGCGCTCAAAATGTCCCAAAAGGCGGCCAAGAGCCATCCCAGGAGGGCCCCGGAAAGCCAAAATCATTGACTGTCCCGTGTGTCTTTTCTAGGTTCCGACTCTCCAAGCCCCAAGAGGCACCCAGGACCGCCCCAAGAAGGCCCCAGGGGACTCCAAGAGGGACCCAAGACGGCCCAAGAGGGCCCCAAGACGGCCCAAGAGGGCCCCAAGACGGCCCCAAGAGGTGCCCAAGAGGGGGAACACGAAACGAAAATCATAGCCTTCTGCCCCAAGAGGCGCCCAGGAGGCCCCAAGAGGCCCCCAAGAGGCCCCAAGAGGCCCACACAAGGCCCCAAGATGCCCCCAAGAGGCCCACGAGGGACCCAGAGAAGCTCCAGAGCAGCCCACCAGAGGCTTCAAAACTGCCTCCACGAGGCTCCCAAGAGGCCTCGACAAAATCCCCACGACCATCAAAGAGGCCCCAAACCCACAACCCAGACACGGTGGCGGGATGAGCCGGAGGCCAGTATACATATATATATATATATATATATATATATATATATATAATATATATATATAAATGTATATATATATGTACATACATACATAAGTATATCTACATATGTGTCTAACTAAAACATGCATGCATACATACATACATACCTACATACATACATACATTTCATTTCATTACATTGCATTACATTACATTACATTACATTACATTACATTACATTACATTATATTACATTACATTACATTACATTATATTACATTACACTACACTACATTGCATTACATTACATTACATTACAATACATTACATTACATTACATTACATTACATCACATCACATCACATCACATCACATCACATCACATTACATTACATTACATTACATTACATTACATTACATTACATTACATTACATTACACTACACTACATACAGACATACATACATACATACATGCAAGCATGCATGCATGCATGCATGCATGCATACATATATATATATATACACATACATGAATGCATGTATGCATGCATGCATACATTCATACGTACGTACGTACGTACATACATACATACATACAAACATACATACCTACCTACCTACCTACCTACCTACATACATACATACATACATACATACATACATACATACATACATACACATATACATATATACACATACACATGCACACCAAATGTTGTTGACCCCCCAGGCCAGCCATGAAAGGGCGGCCTTTGGCACAGACCCCGCGGAACCCTCCAAGACAGCTCAAATCAGACCCAACAAAATCAAATCACCCCCCTTGTGAAATGAAATCCCAAGTGTGTGTGTGCGTGTGTATTTGTATATATGTGTATGTATGTATGTATGTATGTATGTATGTTTGCATGCCTGTATGTCTGTCGGTCCGTCTGTCTGTCTGTCTGTATGTATGTGCGTAAGTATGCATGTATGCATATATGTATGTATGCTTGTATATATGGATGGATGTGTGTATGTATGGATGTATGTTTATATGTATGCATGCGTGCATGTATGTATATGGAAATGGATATGCATGCACAAATACAAAGAGAGAGGGAGAGAGCGAAAGAGAGAGAGAGAGAGAGCGAAAGGGAGACGCAGAGAGAAGGAGAGAGCAAGCAACTCAAACAGCTACATGCATAGAGAAAGAAGAAATAAATAAAGAAACAAGTAACTGGAGTGAGTAGCACTAGCTTGATGAGAGCGGAGTCAGGACCAGGAAAAACTGAGGCAAGAGGTGCGGATGGGGCGGCAGCATAGGAGTAAACAAGAAGGGGGGTGCATGAGACGTCCTACGTCGCGGATTGACCTCCCCCCAGCCCTGAGGGCGCAGATGGTTTGGGGGATCAACTCTTCCCGAACAACCCCTTTTCGGGGAGAGGGGTAACCATCCCAGTATGCACACGCCGCAAAGCTTCTCGTCTCGCCTCTGGACTGGAGGTGGCTGGCAGTCTGGCGTCGCGTCCACACTATTCGGTGAAAGATCGGTTCGAGCTCCCAGGGCAGCGATCCCTCTCTAAGTGATTGGCCCACGTCTTCAGGGCCAACACCCAGTCATTGCCAAAAATACACTGGATCCGCACTCGTGGGGCCAGTGTGAAGCGCGGCACACACACACACACACACACACACACTTTCCGTCGGCGGCGAGGGGCAGCCGAAAAGCGAATCGGCCAGCATGCAAGAACGGGGAGCAAGACAGAAGAGGCGGCCGCAGCACGCACATACACACACACGCACACGCACATACACACACCCACACACACACACGCACGCACGCACGCACGCACACGCACGTACACACACACGCACACGCACATACACACGCACACACACACACACACACATACACACATATATATACACACACGCACGCACGCACGCACGCACGCACGCACGCACGCACACACACACACACACACACACACACACACACACACACACACACACACAAACACACAACACACACACACACACACATACGCGCACACGAAACACGCACACACACACACATTCGCATAGACTTGGGTCTGCGGTCACGCGGCCAGGACCCCCCGCCCTCCCTGGGCCACGACCATGGGTGACATACGAGATGACCAACCAAAAAAAAAACCTTAACCCTTTGGGAGGGGACCTAAGTTAGGAGGACCAAAGACATTAGGGATAGGGGGTCTTTTCTGCAGATGTATCGAATCAAACCGCCCAGATATATTACCCCTAATGTGAGGACGGGGACCTCAGCGAGGCCACGTCCTCATCGTGTTATTAGGGTTAGGGGTCCTTCTCTCCTCAATGACGATACGTCAGATCTTCCAGGGGCACGATCCCCTGTAAACAACTGTTGGTCCGCGCTCGCGCACCAAAATCATGTCCACGATCGAGCAGCCGCGACTCCTCGTAAAGTGTACTGTATCCACGCTCGCGCACCCACGATGCTTCGCAAAACCCATTTCGAGCGCAGCGGCAAGCGCTGATGCTCGACCCGCTTGCTGTTTTCCCTGCTTCTTGCGGTCGGCTTTATGATGATTGCTGCAGCTTGGGGCCTGTTGGGCAGTCTCGGAGTCTCCTGAACAGTTTCTGACACCCCAAAGCTTTCGCCCATGATCCGCCTCTGGAGGCCCTCACCAAGCCCCGGAAACTCAAAACAACTCAAGATGAAAACTGGCCCCAGAGAAGAGGTCGGGGCCCTGGGGGGGGATCGAAGACAGATTGCAACGAACGTCGGAGAATAAAGGGGGCGGAGGGGGGAGGAGGACGAAGGAGGATCAAGACGGATCAAGGAGCAATGAGACAGCAGAAAAAAGGAAGGGGGAGGAGCGAGGAGAGCAATGAGCAAGGAGCAATGAGGACACAGGAAGAAAGAAAGGGAAAGGAGGAGGGAGGAGGAAGAGAGGCGGGAGGAGGGGGAGAAAGGAGGAGGAGGAGCAGAGGGGGGGGCGGAGGATGGAGGATGAGGAAGGAGGATCAAGGAGGATCAAGGAGGATCAAGGAGGATCAAGGAGGATCAAGGAGAACGGAGCAAGGACAAAGGAGAAGGAACGAGGAGGAGCGAGGAGCGAAGAGCGACGAGCAATAAGCACGGAGCAAGGAGGAAGGAGGAAGGAGGGAGGAAGAAGAAATGAGGAGGGAGAAGGGAGGCGGGAGGAGGGCGGAGAAAGGACGAGCAGGAGAGAAGGGAGGGAGGAGGGATAGAAGGAGGAGGGGGCACGGGACGGGCGGGGGTGAAGGACGCCCCTGGAGACCAAGCAGGACCAGCGCGGCCGAAGCTCCCAGCCCATGCTCTTCCGGAAGCGGTAGTTCGTCACCTGGGCGGCCGCGGCCCTCCGCGCGACCAGGACAGACCGGCCACGACCGGGGAGCTGCGGCCCGCATCCCTAGCAGGATCGGCGTCATCCTGGGCCAGTCTCGGGCCCTGGGCCCGCATAAGGAGTGGATCCAGGGCGCGGGGCTGCCCCCCGCGGAAAGGGTCGAAGCATCCGGAGCCTGCTGACTGGACTAAACACACACCGCCAGACGTCTGGGACGGTCATCGGGGTCGACCGACACCCCTCTCTCTCTCTCTTTCTCTCTCTCTCCTCTCCTCTCTCTCTCTCTCTCTTTCTCGAAAGAGCGAGACAGACAGACAGACAGACAGACAGACAGACAGACAGACAGACGGACAGACAGACAGACAGACAGACAGACAGACAGACAGACAGACAGACAGACAGACAGACACACAGACAGACAGACAGACGGACAGACAGACAGACAGACAGACAGAGCGAGAGAGAGAGAGGAGAGAGAGAGAGAAACAGAGAGAAACAGAGAGAGAGAGAGCGAGCGAGACACAAAAGGAGAGGGACAAAGAGAGAGAGAGAGAGACTGTCGATACAGCGGACTCCCCCAGCGGGGTATTGAACTCAACCTCCCAGGTCTGGCCGATCGTCGGGAGCAGGTATCCGTACCAGACCCCCAACGTCATGCACAAAGATCAAGACGCAGGTTTGTCACTTTTTCGGCGTCCCAGGAGGGTGCATGCACCGATCCTGGGCTCATAGTGGGCCTGGTCAGGATCGGTGTATGTGCACTGTTCTCGTCGCCAAAGGCCAGAAGTTTTTGTTCGAGCCGCAGGACCATCAGAACACGATGTGCAATGAAAAACTGGCGGCACGTAGACTGAGCACTCGAAGCGACGATGGAACATCACCCCGCACGCGGGGGCCACGAGGAGACCCCGGATCATGGGCCCCGATCGCCCGACTCGAAAGAACCGGGAACCGCCCCACGCACACATTAAAGAGAGCCACGGAACAGGCCGCGAAAGCCGAGAAGCCACCCAAGCCACCAGGAGCCTGGGATTGGGTCGGGCATGTCCTCCTGCAGGCGGATTCAGGAGGAAAAAAGAACAAGCAGTCCAAACATGATCAGGAATAGTCCACAGAGCACGAAAAATCGTCACCAGACTATGTTTGAGCTGTTCTTCAATGTTCCTCCTGCAGAGGGACAGGCCGATCAAAGCCTGGGAACAGGCGGGACACTGGAAGACGCCATCCGATTACAGGGGCCATCCCGATGCACACCGCCGCGCGTGCCGGCACGCGCGGGGACGCGTGCACACCGAAGAGGCCCCGCCACACGGTGTTGGCGCCACCCAAAAGGCCCAAGCGCGCAGCCCTGCCCCGCCACGTGCGGGGGGGCGCCGAAGAGCCCCTCACTGGGCTCGACAACGAGGCCGTGCGGATCACACACCCCTCCTGCATATGCGCTGGCCCAGTCTCCTCCTCCTTCTCCTCCTCCTCCGTCTCCTCCTCCTCCTCCTCCTCCTCCTCCTCCTCCGCCTTCTCCTCCTCCTCCTCCGCCTCCTCCTCCTCCTCCTCCCTGCTTATCCTTCTCCTCCTCCCTGCTTCTCCTCCTTCTCCTCCGCCTCCTCATCCTCCTCCTCCTCCTCCTCCTCCTCCTCCTTCTACCCCTCCCGCTCTTCCTTCAATGTCCACTGGAGATCAACGAATGAACTTTCAGTGATGTGGGTGAGCCTAGCCAGCGGTTGAGCGCCACTGAGCGTCCTTTTTCTTACCTCGAGACACCCGCTGAACCACACCCTCGTCTCTCTGCGTCCCCTGGGTCTCTGACATCCCGCCAGGGCCACCGGCAGCATGATGGTGCAGAAGAGGAAGCCGTTGATCATGCCGCGAAAGCTGCCGGAGAGGCTGGTGAAGGTGAGCATGATGTTGATCACCTCCGTCCCGAGCCCCCGCCCTCCTGCTGCGGAGAGGCCGTGGACGGCCCGCCGACCGGCCCAGAGACCCTACGGCTACAGTCCTCCTCCTCCTCCTCCTCCTCCTCCTCCTCCTCCTCCTCCTCCTCCTCCTCCTCCTCCTCCTCTTCCTCAATCCTCCTTCCTCCTCCTCCTCCTCTTCCTCATCCCTCCTCCTCCTGCTCCTCCTCTTGCGTTGGGCGAGCTCTAGCTGCGTGGCGCGAAGCCCTCGTGCGATGAAAACTGGCGCTGCAACGTGTCAGACAAGGGATGCTGACGGCATGTGCACGACAGGAAGGGCACTGGGCCTAGGAAAAATAGGGCGGCCCCGGTGGCCACAGAGTAACGCGGCCGTCAACTGAGGGGGAGAAGAGAACAACACAACTGCAGAACCGTAACATAACATCGAGGGAGGATTCTGTATGAGAGAAGTCGGAATACACGCGCAGGCAAAAAAAGCAGGCATGCCTGTTGATTTTTCGGCGTGAGTGTCCAAGTAATGTAAGAGCCGCTTGGGTCAGCTAGGCAGCCGAAACCCCCTCCCCCTTCCATTCCCTCACAATCTCCCACCACCACGATCAGTACGAAACGGAAGTGATGTGGCACTAATTGAGCAACAAAGAAAGCAGTGGCTGACGCAAGATGTTGGCTGTTTGTTGGTTTGCTTCAGGCAAATGCAGCACGCAGACTGAACAGGAGAAGTAGAGATCAGAAAATGGATAGCAGAGGCTATGCGAACAGGGCAGAATTCAACAGCCAGCGGAGCGGAGTATTACAAGAAACGACTCGACAGACCACAGTGGAGAGTAACTCACCCCAGCCTCATCAGCATCAGCATCATCAGCATCATTATCATCATCAGCATCATCATCATCGTCATCATCAGCATCATCATCATCATCATCATCAGCATCATCATCAGATTCCTCCCTCCTCCTCCTCCTCCTCCTCCTCCTCCTCCTCCCGCTTATCCTCCTCCATCTCCTCACATTCACAATTACACACTAGAGGCCCCCAAGAGGCTCCCAGCCAAAAGGCCCTGAGGAGGCTCCCAAGAGACCCCCAAGAGGCTCCAGAGGACCCAAGAGGTCACCCCAGTCCTCATCCACCTGTTCAATATCCCTGTCCTCCTCGCATACAGGGTCGGTGGCACCGGCCGTAAGGCCTAGTATTCTCCAACAGAAAAGGAAGACGATAGGATAAGGTCGAGGAGCGATATGAGGAATTCCCGCCTCCTTTTCCTCTTCCCCAAACTTATCCTCCTTCTCCTCTCACCCTGCTCGTCCTCATTGTAGTGATCGTCCTCGCGGTCCCTAGATCTTTTCTGTGGGAGGAGGATGAGACGACGATGAAAGGAAGAGAAAGAGGAGGAGGAGGACGACGACGACGAGTGATCTGATGAGGAGGCGGAGCAGCATGAGGTTAAGGTGGGTATTCCTCCTCAGCGTCATCCTTCCTGCCTCTCTCCTCTTCACCATTTTCTGCCACCGTCACTCTGCCACTGACTGAAAGCAGCGGCGCGTGAGGCCAGAGTACGCCCATACCGTACACGAGAGCCCGAAAGAGAGAGAGAGAAGACACAACATACTGGCCATCACCGTCTTCATCACCGAGAGCCCAAAGCGCATTCTCGCGCCGAGAGAACAATCATCACCGCTGTCACCGTCTGCAGAAATCTGATAGAAAAAATAAAATAATTATAATAATCATTATTAACACATATATATATATATATACCCCCCCCCCCAAAAAAAAAAAAAAAAAAAAAAAAAAAAAAAAAAAAAAAAAAAAAAAACGCGGGGGGGGGGGGGGGGCGTTCTGTCCCCAAACCCCTCCAGAGGTCCCCGCCCGCCTCTGGAGGCGTCCCGAAGGCCCAGGGCGAGTCAGTCCATGCAAAAGTTTCCGTCCTCCACTCTGGAGGAGGAGGAGGAAAAGAAGGAAGAGAAGCAGGAGGAAGAGGAAGAGGAGGAGGAAAGGAGGAAGGGGAGGAAGAGGGCAATCAGAAAGGCCATAGGTCTCTCGGATTCCTCTCGGAGTCGTTTCGGATTTCTTTCGAGAATTTCTTGGAGTCCTCTGGGAGCGTCTTGGGGGTCTCCTGGCAGTCCCAGGGGCCTCTTGGGGCGTATTGGGTACCTCTGGGGGGCCTCTTGGAGCCTGCTGGGGGTATCTTGGGAGCCTCTTTGGGGCAGATTGGGGGCCTCTCGGGGGCCTCTTGGGGGCCTCATGGGCACCACGGCAGAGTAGTCCTGGGCCTGCAGCATGGAGTCCGCTTGAGCCCGCGAGCACTGGCTGCTGCCAAGGTGTGCCCGCTCCGGCGCGATTGTACACCCGTCGACGCCGTGCCCAGGAGGAGCAGGAGCAGGAAGCCCAAAGGGCTCGGGGAAGTGTCAGAGGAGGACGAGGACGAAAGGGAAGGAGGGAGGGAGGGAGGAAGGGAGGACGAGGAAGGGAGGACGAGGAGGGGGAGGACGAGAAGGGGGAGGAAAGGAAAGGGGACGAGGGAGCAGAGGACGGAGGGACGGAGGGAGGGAGGGAGAGAGGGAAGGAGGGAGGACGAGAGAGGAGGACGAGGAGGGGGAGGAACAGGAGAAGGACGGGAGAGGAGGGATCAGGAAGAGAGGAAGACAGCCAGGAGGAGGAGAGCCAGGAGGAGCAAGCGAATGGAAGCGAGGGATGACCTCGAACACGGGGAACTTCAGCATGTTGGTAGGGAAGGTCGTCAAAAAGAACTTGCTGATGACACCAAAGTTCACTTCCGCAAAGGCCTGCCGAGGGCTCGGGTGTGGAACGGGCAGAGTCGCGTCCGACGGGAAAGGTTACAAAACGGTGGTGCAGGAACGGAGGGAGGCCTCTCCCGCAGGGTGGTCTTTAAGGCCGAAGGACGGCCTCCTGTTGAAGCCAGCCCAGGGGGCCGACTGCGGCCGAGGCGAGTGGCGCCAGCGAGACACGACACGGCACACAGGCCATTCGCGCCACCATGCACCCGAGCCAGCGCTTTGCCTGGACTCCTCAAGAACAGGTCCATAGAGAGCGGCTGAGAATGGAGGGGAAGAGGAAGGGAGGATCGGCGGCGAACCAGGGGGAGAAGTGAGAAGGAGAAAGCCTTCTCAGAAGGCTCGGAAGGGCCTTCTGAAAGTTTCCTGGGCCTTCCCCGAAGGCACGGGAAGTTTCTCAGAAGGCGCGAGGGCTTATGAGAAGTCCCGCCGCCTTCTGAAAGCGCCCTTTCCTTCTCATGTCCCCCCCTCGCTCGCCGCCGAGAGGGGGGAGCGGGATGAGAACGGGAAGACGGAGGAGACGGGCAGACCCGACGCGCAGACCACTGCCGAAACATCCTGGGCCGAGTTGCAGTTGGGGGGGGAGCGGCGGGAACCTGCTTTGCTTCAGGAGAAGGCTGGGCTGCGCGAGACGGGGCGAGAAGGGGAAGAGAACGAGACGTCGCCCCCACTGCGAACGACATGTCGCTCCTCTTCTTTTTTCCTCCTCCTCTTCCTCCTCCTCCTCCTCTTCCTCCTCCTTCTCCTCATCCTCCTCTTCCCTCCTCCTCCCTCCTCCTCCTCCCTCCTCCTCCTCCTTCTCGTCCTCCTCCTCTTCCTCTTCCTCCTCCTCTTCCCTCCTCTTCCCCCCTCCTCCTCCTCCTCCTCCTCCTCCTCCTCGTCCTCCTCCTCCTCCTCCTCAATTCCTGATTTCCTGTTGGCACTCGTGTTATCCGAACGCTGCCGCTTCCCCCGGGACTGGCCACAAGCCAGCCATGGGAAGTAGAACAGAAAGTAGGAAAGCACAAGAGCAGATAGACAGAGAGGATAGAAAGAGGAAAGACGCATCGCATCCTCAACATCAATCAGAACCGAGCCCTGGGTCCTGGTCGTGGGCCCCCCTTCCTTCGGGTCGCATGGCCCTATTGGGCCACCGCCCTGGAGGGTGCCCAAGGCCCCCCAGGCAGGGGTGCCCTGGTGGTCAGAGGACAATTGAGGTAAGCGGGGGCGGCATGAGCGGGTTGAGGAAAGACAAGCGCTGGTGTTGGTGGTGCCGATGCGTCGCCTTTGCGCTGCGGCCTCCCCGGCCCTAGCCACGAGGGCCTGCCGAGGCCTCCAACACCGACCCCCTGCTATTGTGGCTGCCAGACTGCGGCGTGCTTGCCATGAGGGGAGCCAGCTACCGTGCACAGGATCACGCGGCATCTGCGCGGTCGCCCTCACTCGAGGCGCCGGCAACTGAGCACGGTTGAAACAGAGTAACACGTAGACTGATGACTGCACACAAGGGTGGCTGGGCGGCGGATGAGAAGGCGACGGTGTAGGTGCGGCGGCGGCAGCCCTGGCCACGCTCGCCGGCGTGGAAGACCCAAGGGCCTTTCCCTCTGGTCATAACAAGCCCCCTAGGCGGGACCCCTCGCCTGCAAGCAGGCGTAGGGCTCCCAGCGCGTTGACCTCGGGGCGGCCTGGGGTGTTTTAACCGAGCGTGAGGAAAGTTTGGGCCTTCCCGGCGGTGGCATGGCGCCGCGCTCGCCTATGTTTGCATGGCCTTGCCACACACGCCAGAGAGTGGCACAGGCCACCTCCGCCAAGCTGGATGGCAGAAGGGCCTCCCCTCCAGCACATAAGAAAACTCCCCAAACGTCCACAAGCCCAATGACTGGTGACCTCCCCTGCAGAGGCAAGAGTAGGGTGCCCAATCACGGGATGCTGGACGCTCGAGGGGGGGTCCACCGTGCTCCGGGAGGCTTATGCCATCCGTGGCGGTAGCACCCTGCGAGCGCTGTCGACCTGACCCTTCCAATGACCAGCCCAGAATCCCTTCCCCGTTACGGTTGGCAGACGGTTAGGGACTGCGGCTGCTGGCTGCTGGCAAGGGCAGGCGGGGGCCAGTGTAGCAGGCGAAAACTGTCGTCGCTGACGATGTTCGCCGCTGTAGCGCTGTTGGAGAAAGGAGGTAGTAAGTGCGAAGGGCCCGCGTCGGGGACAATGGATGGATCGCTGCCATCTGCCACGGCCGTCCAGGCTCTTGCCAGGGCGGCCTGCGGCAAGTTCCCTCGCCCTTCCCCCCACCGATCCATCACCCCACCCGTCCCGCCACCACAGGAGTAAGGATGAAGAAGGCTAGCTAGATGCAGCGGGGGGAAAGTACACGAGAAGGGAGCCAGAAGGGAGGGAAGGTTGGAGGTTGGTGAGGCCGTCTCTCAACACACGTCGGTCGTGGAAGCAAAGCTTGTGTGTGAGAATGCCCCTGGGGGACCCACTGATATCATACATACTACTGTTGCCGTTGACGTTTGCCGAGGCGTTGCGTGACACGTCGGATGATCTAGCATGGCTGCGTGGGTGGGAAAGCCTCTCCGGGGGGGCCACTGCATAGCATAGTATGTTCCTGACGTAGTCGTCGCTATTGGAACCATAGAAGCCCCTTGCTGCTGCCATCGGATGTGGGTCTGGAGATGGTTCGTCCAGCTGTGGTGCTGCCGATCGCATCGGTGAGTGCGTGCTGCTTGGTAGAAAAATGATGCCGAGGTAGAGCGCTGGAAGATAGCAGGCGGCGTAAGAGAGTGTCTGTCATGGAGCAAATTTGATATCACGTGCATGCCAGGGAGGTAGGCGCACTGAGGGACGGCTGTAAGGCCAGTCCCGTTGGGAGGCGTTGGCCTCATGGTTGTTGGCAATCAGGGGGAATATCCTGATTTGCCGTAGGTGCGTCGGGCTGGTGGTCCTGGCGGTACTGGTTGCAATCAACTTCCCAAGGTGGCCAAGGGGGTGTGCCCTCGCTGTGGGTCTGGTTAGTTTCGTGCTGGTGCTTAACTGGTATGCTCGCCGTCGGCTGGTGATTGGTTGCGGTCAAAAGCCTGCACATGTCGGTTTCACGCGTGAGGCTCTCGGTCGGCTGGGACTGGTTGTTGGCGTTTTCCAGAGCCCGAACCGCCGTCGTGGGCTGGTCGATGCTGCTGAACGTGATGAGGTCGGCTGTCGGTTTGGTTACTGCTTGCTGGTTGTTAGGCTGCTTCTGCAGATCTGGATGTTCTGCCATGGGTGTCGTCCTGTTGCGTCTTGGTGGCTCCTTGGTATGGTTGCACTCTTCTGGCTGTGTCGGTTGCACCAGCTGTTGCGGGTCCGTCGACTGGTTTGCCTTCGGTAGGTCTGTTCGTTGACCGGGTGGTGTCTCAATGGCTGGGTTAGCCAGACTCGGTCCTTCTTGCTGGCCTGGCGTGTCGATCATGGCTGGTCTCTGTTACCGTGGTTCGCTGAGACGTCTGGTCTAGGGCTTTGTGTGGTGATGAGCTCGGTTATAGTATGTATTGCTGCTGTCGCGCTTATGCTCTGGAAGCGAGTAACTGGAAAGGGCGTTAGCATGAAAGTCGGTTTGTAACGTATGGCCAGCTTGATGGACATGAGCATGCTCTGCCGTTGCGTATGCATTGCGTTTGGTGTCGCTGTGTCGTCTGAATCGTCATGCATCTTGTAGGTCGGCCGCTATGCCCAGATTTAAAGGTATTGCTCGTGTTGCCCAGTTTCTCGAACTAGTCTTTAATGGCCTTGTGGGTCTGTATATCGGAGTAACTGGATTCGCGGCTATGTTGGTTCCTGCTGATGCTGTTGGTCAAGCGCTCGATTAAGTCCTGGTGCCGCTCAATTAGTCTGTTGTCCGATATCATGTCTGGCGGCGTGGGTCACGTAGGTAGTGGGGCCATCTCAAACACCAAGCCTAAGTAATCTTCTCCTCCTCCTCCTCTTCGCAACCACAAGCTGCCCGTCAGTCACGGTGCTTGATCCCTCCGATCTCGCGACAATGCTGCGGTGCCTGCGCAGCCGATCCGTCGCACTCGGGACTTGTCCCCACATCCTGACGCACTTGTATCAGGACCCATCGCACGCGCGCCAGCATTTCTTTAATGGGTCGACGCCCACGCCACACATCGTTGGACGGCGCTGCGCATTGAACAGTGCAGGGTCGTCCAACGAGGTCATGTATTTTGATTATTTCTGGCATGGCTCAATCCAAGAGATTCCTGAAGTCTGCTGGCTGACACGGGACGCTCGAACATCCCTTCCTCGTCCGTGGGCTCTCTTAGCAAGACATACTCTCCCCGACCAAGTTTGACCCTCAGTTTCTCACCCCTCGCTCGTCATATCCAAGCCTGATTCACATGAACCCATTTTCCTGCGCGGCACGGCCAGCTCCCATGAGCTCAGACCCAAGGGGTCCTTCTGGCCCTGGCTGTTGCAAGTTCACGGCAGCCGCCCTTGGGATCCTGGGTCCCGCTGGCTCTGGCTGTTACTCACGGGGTCCTGGGCTCTTCTGGCCATGAGTGTTGCGACTCCTTGCGGCGGTCAGATGGGGTCCCAGAGCACGCTGACCCTTGTTTGTGTCTGATCATTGTGTGAGAGTGCAGGACAGAGGGTAAAATCTAAAGTGCCGTGTGTCCCGAAACACCTTCAAGAGCGGGGAAGCCAATTCTAGAACGCAAGATGGAAGTATGGAATTCCCCCTCATCATCGCCACCAGCATCATCAACATCCTCGTGCTTTGTGGCGAGCAGGGCACATTCCCCCCTGATCCCCACCACGCCGATGGCCTGCGAGAAGGTCATGCGCTTCACAAGCAGACGGTTGACGACGGGCTCCTCAGGCGTGCCGAACAGGAATGCACTTGTATAAACGACGTCCACGCCCGAGTTACCTGCAACCCTGCACATCGCTTCCATCCCCACTCTGCACCTCCGAAGGAGATTAGCACGTGCGAGCGATCACTCGACCGCTCAGGGGCAGATCCGCCCGACTAGGGGGGCACATGCGAACCCTACCCCTACCCCCCACGGTTTTTGAGGGTGAGGGTGGGGTTCGCTTCGCTCGGGAGCTCCCGAACGAAGTGAACCCCACCCTCCCCCTCAGAAATCGTGGGGGGTAGGGGTAGGGTTCGCATGTGGCCCCCTAAGATTAGCACGTGCGAGCGACCACTCGACCGCTCAGGGGCAGATCCGCCCGACACCTCACTCCCGCAGCCCCAGCAGAAACCGAGCCTCGAGACGGCCGTGGGCCGAAAGGGACGCCGCCGGGCAGAGGGCCAGTCACCGGGCCACGGGGAGGCGGATGGCGCATGGCGACACAGACGGCACGCACGGCAGGGCACCGCTGACGGCGAGGACGAGCGAGGGGGAACGTTACGGGGAACGCGCTCGTCGAGGAGGGAAGCATCGAGCTGACAGGGGGAACGTTACAGGGAACGGACTCGTCGGGGGGGGAACGTTACGGGGAACGGGATCGTCGGGGAATCGGCGATACCTCGCCGACAGCGTGGCGATAGGCCCCCGATAGCGAATCCGCACGCTCCTGGGCGGGGTGGGGCTGTCGGGCCCCTGTCGACGATGAACGAGCCATTGAGGGCCGATGCGTCCCCCCCCCCCCTGGGCCCATCCACCCGAACGTTGCCCCTGATCCGAACGGCTTTCGGGCCATGGCTCGGCTCCCTGGCGGCTGCTCGGGACGATCCGAGCACCCCCGCCGGAAGGCTCCCCGAGGCCGACGACAACGCATGAAAAATTATAGCCTCCACCGTCGAAGCGAGAGCTAGCTGGCGGCGCGCAGAGGGGGGGCCTGGGACACACAAATGAATACACACAAGTAAAAAGATTGACCATATTGTCCCATATTTTCTGGGTTTCTGTCTTCCCCCCCACTTCCCATATTTTCCGATATTTTCTGAGGAATCGACGATTAATTGTGTCTGTGTGTTTTTG